TGATTTTCAGTCTCTTTAAATGAACTTTCGGCCTCTTTGTCTCTTTTCTTTGGGTATCCCACCGTTGGCGTGTTTATATAAGAGGGATAGTGTGCTGTACATTCCTTCCGTTCCTTGCTGGTTTTCAAACATTTATTCTTTTTTTTTTTTGAGAGATTTTCACTGTAGGGCACGTGCGCTCGCCAGACAGAGAGAGACATAGAGACAGAAAGCGAGAAATCACACCCTAGGGGGGATGGTCATGCCACAATCCCTTCTCCTCCATTCTCCTCTCGGGATCTTGGGCACGCACGCACACGCGCCCGGCGTGAGTTTAAAGCCACCGGGTCCGGGACACGAACCGCGGTCGACTACGTGGGAGTCCAGCGACATAGCCATTACGCTAACTGCTGGTTCCCAAACATTTATTCTTGTTGTTCCTCTAGTTGGCTGATTAAAAGAGGCCTGTTTTGAGTTTACTGTAATAATTCTTTTGTGTATGTGATTGAGACTACTGTTGAAATCATATCGAATTTTTCAGTTTTGCTCTTGCATTCTTCTGTGGAGATACATATCCAGAAGTGAGGTGATTGAATAGTAGAGTAACTCCGTTTACGTTTGCCGAAGAACCTTCGTGTTGTTTTTCACAGTGGCTTTATTTACGTTCCTCCAGCAGTGCACGGGAGCTCCTTCCCCTCTGCCTTGCCAGCACTTGATACCTTTTGTCTGTTCGGTAATAGCCATTACAGCAGGTGTCAGATGATCATCTGTTTGCCTTTTTTCTGTGGTTTCTGTTTACTAAATTTCTCATTTGTTCATACATTGTTTTCCTAATTTCATTTAGTTATCTGTCTATATTTTCTTGCATCTCTCTTTTTAAAAATGATTATTTTGATTTTTTTCAGGTAATTCATATTATCTCCATTTCTTTGGGGGTCAGTTATTGAAGCTTTGTGAGTTTCCTTTGGTGGTATCATGTCTTCCGGATTCCTTCTTATTTGTGTAGTCACAACTTAGTGTCTGTGCATTTATGTGAAGCAGCATAGCCCTATTTCAGTCTTAGAGGCTGTCTTTGATGAGTTACAGTCTTTTCCTGTTAGGTCTCTGGGTGGTTGGAGTTGCCCCTGGGCTCATAGTGGAGGAGGGTTGGATTCAGGGAATGTGGCTGATGGTGAGCCCCAGTGGGAGCCGCATTTGGTGGCTCTGTTCTCAGGGCTCTTACGTGGGCATGAGATCTGTCTGCTGCCTTGGTGGGCTGCAGTGTCTCAAGGACCTTCGTCTGCAGGGCTGGTGCTAGGTGATTCTGCTTCAGGATTTGCAGGTCGGAGGCCTGTTATCAGGTACACTGATGAGCGTGTCTTCCCAGGGCTCCTGTTGGGTCACTGGAGGGCTGGGTCCTTGGATTGGCCAATGTGCTTCAGTCCATGGAGGGCTGGGTCCTTGGATTGGCCAGTGTGCTTCAGTCCATGGCTGAGATGGGCTGGACTTAAGACCAGGGTTGTTTCAGGAATACCGCTGAGATAACAATTTGAGGCCTGCTTCTGGAGTCAGGGGTAGGTATGTCTTCCTAGGTCCTGGGGAAGCAGGCAAGCCTCTTTCTGACGTGGGTAGAGCTGACGTGCAGGGTCATTTCAGGACCCACAGTGTGCTGAGGTCTGTGCGTCAGCCTGCCCTGGACTGCTCTGGGTGCAGATGAGAGGGACAGATCCAGGGCCATTTGAGGATCTGCTGAGGAAGAGAGCTTGGCAAGCCTACCGTAGGGACTCAGATGGGATGTCTCTCAGTAGGACTCCGGCGGGTAGATCAGCTCCCAGAGCGCAGCTGGGTGGGACCGAAACTGAGCTTCAGGGCTGATTCAGAATCTGGCGTGGGACCATGTTTTCATTGGCACCAGTGGGTGTCTTCTAGAAGTTCCCTTTGTGGGCAGGGCTACTCCCAGAACACGGCCGGGAGGAGCTAGAGGTGACCTTTCAGTGGATGGAGCTGCAGGCCTGTCTGGGTGTGTCTCCACTGCAAGGCTGTGGTAGAGGGGTGCCGCAGACCAGACGACAGGACTTCTCAGGATCGGCTGTGGGCTGGCCACTGGCGAGCTTGCTACAGATGGGGAGTCTCTAATCTCTCCCTGCACCAGTCGAATGCTCCCCGACTGCCGAGAGGGGCGAGAGCCCTGGTGGCGCTCCTTTGGCATCTGCTGCAGATTGAGGCTGGCAGGCCTGTCCTGGAGGCTGGAGTGGGCGAGTCTCCCTTTGGTCTCTGTGTGAGCAGTACTAAGCCAGGACCACAGCGGAGCAGAGCTGGAGCCCAGTTACAGGATGACTCAGATCCACTGCCGAGACCCACATGGGTAGGCATGCAGATGAGGCTTCTGCTGAAGCACTGGTGTGTGACTCCTACTGGACCCTATGGTAGATGGTTTTGGTCGAAGGTTCAAGGCTGCAGCTGAGCTTTATTTGGTCTGAACTGCAAGCAGGATCAGTGGGTCTAAAATTAGCTGTGGGATATCCCGCTCAGTCTAAAAGCCTTCACTGGCTTCCATTGTCTGCAGGAGGAAGTCGGGGCTCAGATAGGCCACCAACCCGCCTGGCTTCTGCCTGTCCATCCAGCCTCACCACAGCTCACTCTACTGTCCCTGGGCTTTGGTTCCACTGTGCACTTGTGCCTGGAGTGGCAGGCTGCCTCTTGCTCCTCGCACGTGCTGGTTCTCATCTCCCAGTACCTTCCCGTTCCGCCCTCTCTGCCTATCATCTTCTCTAGGAAAGTCCTCCAGCACATGTGGGAGGTGCCCCAGACTCCCTGGCATAACCTTGCTGTCGCTGCACTTGCGGTTCCGTAATTGTTCGTGCCGGCCGCTCTCTGGG